AATTTTTTTGTCTAAGACTGGTGCTTTTTGTCACACTCTCCTCTTTTTGACTGGAGATCACAGGAGAACGAAACAAACTAAGAACAAACTTCTTTTTGCTGCTGAAAGTAGACAGTCCTGTCTTTCAGACTCTGGTTTCATATTTTTCATAGCACACAATATTCTGTGAGTCTTAAAAATCAGTGAAGTCATCAAAAAATGGCTGGCAGTCAATGAGAACCTCTTTTTCGTGTACAAAAATTACATAAAATTACAGATGTTATCATCTGTAATTTTATGTAATTATTGTCACAGTCACATACAGATGATAAAATAGTCACATACAGATTATACAACAGTAACACACAATTTCATAAAATTACGGATTATAAAAACAGTTACATTTCACTGAAGATGTCTCAATCTGGATCTAAAAGCATTCAAGGAAATAAGATCAGATCATTTCTAGTCTTTTTGCAACACGTTCCATGTAGAAGGAGCAGTTTTTTTTCCCCAGTTCTGTGCAAAAGGAACAGAGAGCAACAAACGATCATTTGATCCAAACCATGAGAACATGTCTCTGTGAGTAAACGACAGTTGTAAGAGGGCAGCAGAGCAAGCCTTAGAAACTAAAGTGCACCAGAGTCCAAACCTTCTGTGGACAAAGATCCCACTCCAGAATATCACTCACAGTGAGGCTTTGCAGTTCGCAATGAATGAAACATTTAAAACAATTTTTTTTCCTATATTTAAGCGCAGTCTTACTGTTGAAACTGTGTAAAATATTACATTAAATATACTTCTTTAGGAATGAAACCTCTGCCTTGTTTTTGATGAATACTTCGGCTTACTACGCTACTGTGTGGTGTGGTCATTTGTGGTGGTACTTGGAGAGGCAAGTATTTTCTGAGGGGGTACTTGGTGTGAAAAGTTTGAGAACCACTGTTCTATAATATACATTTATAATCTGGTTGAGAACCAACTATTTACTTAAGCTCAATCTTTGCATTACTTATACCTAAATCTGAGTACACTTTAGCCTTGTAACTGTACTTCTTCTATGACTGCTTGTGAACTATTACTCAAGTAAACGTAAGCCTCGTGCTCAGCTCTTGCACATACTGTAAAGTACAGTATTTCGGCTCCTGGCAGAGTTTCTTGACTTTGTGGCAGGATGTGCAGCTATAAGGTGAACTGTGGATGATTAGTCTTTGAAGCTCCCCTGACGGAGAGATGAGAGGACGAGAGGCGGAAGGAAAGGTGATGCTACCGCTGCTGCTGACACGAGAGTTTGAGACACTCGCACAAACACACAACTTTCTCCCTGTTATGCTTTTTCACTGCAACTCAGCAGGGAAAAACATCTCCAGAAAATGTGTTCAATTGAAAAGGAAGTGTGGAATTAGCATTGTAAACTGAAGAAAGGATACAATTTCAAAGGGAAAAATGGAAAGTTGCAAACACACAAAACAGATATAACAGTGACTATGCAGCATGATTGTTGACCTCACTGTAATCTCCACATTTTAGCATGTATGGTATTAGGTATTATATGCCCGTGCTTTTTAGAGCCCCCAAAATAACATAGCTGGCAACCCCCACTGCATAATCATGTTACTACCTATGATTCACATACAAATTTATGTTAAAAATTGACCTTATTTTTGTCCTATATCAGTACAGTTGTTCATTCATTATTGGACTTCAATATGATTTTTAGGATCAAACGTAAACATACAAAGCTGTATATTTGATATTAGAACATGAAATATGAATAGTGAAACTAGGACGCAAGATTTCAGTGAAATAAGTAGACAGCACTGATTGACAGATACACCTTGAATCTTGTGCGAAGATTTGTGGTGGAAGATTACATTTGGGCTACACCTCATGAGAAATAATTGTAAAATATGAGCAACTGAAAAGAAATCAGATGGTTGGTGAAATAGAGGTTGCTTGCTTTTGTATATCAATATGTAGAGTATTATTGGCTGTTAGGGACGATGAGGCCCACAAACCTGTGAATAGCACTATTGATGTCATCTATATTCATGTTGCCTTGTTTCAGATACATTCAGTGGATCAGAAAATGTCATTGTATTTCATTAGCATACATGAGTAAAGCAAAACAGACTTTGGCTGCTAATAAATACACACATTTTTGTTGAATGAATAACAATGGTGCCCCCAACTGGCAGGTTGATGAATCTATTATGAAGATCTCTGAGGTGCCAGATGTGGTCAGTAAAATCACAGTCTATGAGTAAAATATGCAATTGGACCTGAACAATGCAATAGTGGACTTCCAGCTTAATGCGGACATGAATATAAATACATAATGAGTTTGTTTCTGTAGCCTCCATACTCAATGAGAATGTTCTTGTCTAATTTGAGTACTATATTCTGTATTCTGAACATTTGAAATAATTTAACTTTGATTTGCAAACATCATTGTGTAAGTAAAATACATAGACATATTCAATTCAATTCAACTTTATTACGGACTCAAGGTCCAAAAAAGACAGCGACATCACAAACAACATTAAACTACAAACAAATAAATTACACAGTCCCTTTAAAAAGACAGCTATACCAGTGCCTCCACATTAGCGACTGATAGCGAATGGCACTACAGGTGACATCAACCAATGAACCAATGACTGTATTAACAGACTTATTCAAACGGCATATAAAACGGTACATAAGCGTCCGCAGTGTGGCTTGCAGCGTGTTTATTCCAGCAGTGACAAACATCTCACTCGCACTGGTCCATCTCGGCCTCCTGAGAAGCACACGCAGAGCGTCGTTATAGGCCACCTGCAACCTTTGGAAAGTTCCTTTTTTATAGTTGGACCAAAGGTGCGCTGTGTACAGAGGTGTACAATATGATTTGAACAACATCATTTTCACTTTGTCCGTACAAAAGCCAAATTTACGCGCCAGCGTGTTTGCCTGGGCATACAACGTTCTACATTGCCTGTTTATGTCAGCATCATCAGAAAAGTCTTCTGTCAATATATGCCCAAGATATTTTATTTTGTTTGCAACATGAAGCCTTGCATTAGACAAATAAAAATCAGGATATGATGTCTTCTTATCCTCCTTGGCTCTACAGATCATAACCAAACTTTTCACTGCATTATATTTAATGTCATGCTCCAGGCCATAGCTTGAACAAATGTTAAGTAACTGTTGCAGCCCAGCAGTGCTTGGACTGAACACAACAAGATCATCTGCATACAACAAATGATTTAACACAAGGTTACCAGCTATACATCCAAGTACAAGCCTTAAGTCTTGTAGACAGATCATCCAGATATAAGTTAAAGAGAATCGGGGATAGTATGCCCCCCTGTCTGACCCCATTGCTGACCTTAAATGGAGCAGACACACTGTTCCCCCACTTAACCTGCATCTTTTGCTGAGCATACCAGTAGATCAAGATCCGCACAATGAATTTGGGAACACCTTTCTGAATTAGTTTAATAAATAATTTCCTGTGGTTAACTCTGTCAAAAGCCTTAGAGGCATCTAAAAAACACATAAAAACTGAGGAGTTTTGACCCTTATATTTAGCAATAATTTCTTTGAGGGCATATATACACATGTCTGTGCCCAGCTTAGCTTTAAAACCAAACTGGCAATCTGACGACAAAATAAACTTAGATATTTTGTCCAGCAAAATTGATTCAACGATTTTAGACACAATACTGGCCAATGCTATTGGTCTATAATTGTCTGAGCAGCCAATCTTGCCAGCTTTATCTTTTAAAACAGGAACTAACAAGACAGTAAGCATGGAATCAGGCAAAAACCCATGGGCAAAAAAAGCTGTGAAGCAGATGGAGAGCAAAGGGGCTAACCTTGCACTCGCAAACTTTAAGTGCTCAGCTGAAACACCATCTGCCCCATTGGCTTTATTATCTGACAAATTTGAAATAGCTTTGATGACATCTTGACATAAGATAGCATCTGAACTATCAACATCATCAACACAATGAGGGTCACTCTGAACACAATTAAATAACATAGCGTAATGTTGCCGCCACAGTTCCAATATATTACCAGTGCCAGAGATACCATCAACCACGCATGGCAAGGAAACCTTAGTTTTCATGGCTCCGACATCTTTCCAGAACTCAAATGCATTGTTACACTGCAGTTTCCTGGCCATTGAGTCAGCTTTCATTGTTTGCTCATATATTATTTTGATACAGTGATGTATGCTCATTTTGAAAACCAAAACAAGGGAAATTGAATTTGGTTGAAAATAGTCAATCCCCAACATTGTATAGTACATGGCCTGTTCTGTAGAATCACTCTGGAAACAATCTGTCTTGTTACTATGAGGATTAATTAAGGTTATGTGCTCTGTTAGCACTGACTGACTGTCCATTCATTCTCCATAACGAGACAAGCTCAGTGACTGAGAAGCAGCAGTTGATAAAGATATTAATCTCAAATTACTGATTAATGGGATGATGGGTGCTCATGATTTTAATTAGTCATATCACATCAATCTGCGGAGACGATAAGCAGGATAACTACAAACTGATCCAAGCGCAGTCCTGAAATTACCTCATACAGCTCACTTGAATGAATTTTGAAGAATTATAATAATCTAACAATAATTTTACTATGTTTTGACTGAGGGCTTACACAAATTTACTATGTTTTGTTTTCTGCTGTCGCTCTAATAAAATACTATAACATTGCCTTATTGGATGTTTTCATGAAGTAGTGTGCAATATTTTTACCCGTGGTTGTACCGTTTAGTTCCCCCATGTGTTTACAGTTTTCAGATGGCGATGCCAGAAGCAGTGTATTGCTGTCTTTAACCACGTGGGGGCAGTAGTTTGCTGGTGAATGGTTAGACCCGCATCTAACGACGAGAAGAAAGCGAAGGTAAATCAAAATGGCGAAGCGAGGAAATGACGATCATGTCACCGTGTGGGAAATAACTTCTCATCATTGAAGAATAAACTTTCTACAATCATTGCAGCAGTTTGCATTGAATTAAGATGTTCAAGCGAGCGAAACGAGTGAACCTGCGCCGCAGAAATGACTCTGACGATGAGGAGATGGAGGAGCGCAAGGACCAGCCTCTGCTGGCACCGACCATGTTTGGGCCTGTGGCGGAGATCCCCTTCATGGGCACCTCCAGCGCCGCCGAGATCAGCCAAACCAACGGATTCCTCTTCAACACAATCAAAGCTATAAAAAAGGAAAAGAAGATTAAAGAGACTCCCCCCAGTCTGGGACCCACTGCTGTCAGCGTGCTGAGCTTTGAGGACGAGGAAGGTACCTGACCAGTAACCAGCCGTTATGTCAGTGTAGCTAACGCAGCGGGCTAGCTGTTAGCTGCTAGCTGTTAGCTGCTAGCTGTTAGCTGCTAGCTGCTAGCTGCTAGCTGTTAGCTGCTAGCTGTTAGCTGCTAGCTGTTAGCTGTTAGCTGCTAGCTGCTAGCTGTTAGCTGCTAGCTGTTAGCTGCTAGCTGTTAGCTGTTAGCTGCTAGCTGCTAGCTGTTAGCTGCTAGCTGCTAGCTGCTAGCTGCTAGCTGTTAGCTGCTAGCTGTTAGCTGCTAGCTGTTAGCTGCTAGCTGTTAGCTGCTAGCTGTTAGCTGCTAGCTGTTAGCTGCTAGCTGTTAGCTGCTAGCTGTTAGCTGCTAGCTGTTAGCTGCTAGCTGTTAGCTGCTAGCTGCTAGCTGTTAGCTGTTATTATAGATCCATGCTGTTAGCTGGGGATGCTACTATAGGATGCAAATGACACTTCAGTCCTCTTCTAAATATTCATATTTGTTTCGCTGAATGACAACTAAAACTTGGACCTATGCATGTCCCACTACTGTTTCTGTAAATGTGTATCTGCATCTGCTGTGTGCACACAGAAGGATCCGAGGTGTTCAGAGTGAAGAAATCGACTCACAGCAAAAAAATTGTAAAGCAGCTTAAAAAGGAATACAAAGAAGATTTGCAGAAAACGGTTCATGTGAAACATGAGCACAAATTCGGTATGTAGCGTTATTTGTTGTTTTATGCATTTTCAAATGTTGACCAGTTATTAGAAATATATAAGTTCTAAATAAATAAAAACACACTTTCAGAAGTTCCTCCAGCACTTGCCATCAAAGAGGAAGCTTCCAGCCAACCTGATAGTGATCATGGCGAGGAGGAGATGGAGGTGGACAGCACTGATGATGCAGAAGATGTGAAAAGTGCTGCAAGAAGCAACACTGCTGGAACATTCAATACTGTGTCTACTCTCAGCACGCTGAGGCCTGGTATGTTGTTGTGTAAGGACTGCGTGTTACATAACACTGAAACCACAATTAAACATGATTGTTGTCTTTATAAGGGGAGATACCAGATGCTGCTTTTATTCATGCTGCAAGAAAGCGTCGTCAATTGGCTCGAGAGCAAGGTGTTGAGCCGCCCCCACCAGAGCCAGAGGTCTCTAAGCGATTAGTACGTGAGGAAGACCAAGTTAGTGACGACGATGATGATGAAAAGAGGATTCGCTTCAGTGGAGTCAAGAATAAAACCCAACGACAAAAAATTGCTGAAGAGATCGGTACAGCACTCTTTGATGATGATGGGTGGTAAATAATAGAAAAGTAAATAAAATGTCCGTGTGCAGGAATTGAAGGCAGCGATGATGAGGCCCTGGATGCAGGTCAGGATGAAGAGGTCAGCCGGTGGGAGCAAGAACAGATCAGAAAAGGGATCAGCATACCACAGGTACGCCTCATGACACAAGCAGGTATACAGTGCTTAGCTAAGGTGCACTTCACTTCATTCTCTTTCTATTGTTTGTACTTAAGGTTCAAACGGTTCAGCCAGAGGACAGCAGCATGTATTACCAGACTGGATATGAGAGTCAGCCCTATGGTGCATCCTACAACATGACTTTTACATACAGCACAGTGACCCCGCAGCCCGCTCAGCCTGGAAAATCCATTATCAGGACCAATAATGGCACAATGCACTATGGGATGTCAAGTGCTGGCAACACTCCTGTATCCATTGATATGGTAAAGAAACGCCTGCAGGAGAGGTAGGTTCAGTAAAGGTCTGCAGAAGCGCCCACTGTCAGTGCGAGAGCCAACGTTGCTCTTTGTATTGCTAAGAGGAAGATGCATAGCAGCTGTGACACTGAGGAATTATGAAATCTTAGTACATTTAATGTTTTAACACAACTTCCTGAAGTGTTTTACTTATGTGGATTTCCAAAGTAATGTTAATATTGTGGTTCTAGCGGACATGGTTGATCGCCTAACAAGCCTTTTCACAAGTTTTCTTGCTGTGTGCTCTGTGTGTAGGCTCAGCCAAATGCATATAGGCAATAAAGCCAACCTGAGCCGCTACAAACAAATCAAGGAGGACCTTTCATCTTCAGAGAGTGCCATACACGAGATGGAGGACACTTCAAACGATAAAGCTGATCAATATAAATTCTTGCAAGAGATGCGAGGGTATGTTCGAGACTTGCTTGAGTGTTTCAGTGAAAAGGTAAGGGAGAAACTTGAGTGCCCTATTATTTATGCTCTAAGATTTAGATTTTTGTCACACATAATCTCTTTCCATTTGAGAATGTCCCATCCACTGTAGATGTGGTTAACATTCAAACCAAGTATACATTCCATAGTGATTAAAAGTTAAATGTCTCAGAAGTTGTTGCATGAGAAACAAAATGTTTAATAATTCTTTATTTCCTGATCAAAGGGGGACACCTGCTGTTTGTTCTTTCACACTAATGAGTCATTTATCTTTACAGCATCATGAAAGCTGCAGTGCTAATGAGTAATACGTGGGGAGACTAGAGCTTGAACTTTACATGACTGAACGTGCAGGACATATAAGCCATCCCTGACTATCACAAATCAGAATTTTCTGACATTAAACACAATCTAGGAGTTTGCTTTGTCATGACGTCAAAATAACAGTTAAAATGTAGTTTATGAGTATAACAAGGCATGCAAGTGTTATGTTGTAAACTTTAATTAAAAAAAGAAACAGCATTTGCTTTATACAAACAAAGCATGACATTTGTAACCATGCAAATGAATTAGTTTCACAGCACTGTATCTGTTCCAGCCGTATTATTTTTGACCCTGCTTCTGTCCTGTCAGCGCAGCAGCTGTTGAGTTTGGGAGCCCCACTGTTGTTTGGGTCAGAGATCACAGAACGCATCATATCTTTCAGGTTCCGGCCATTCTGGAGCTGGAGGCTGCGATGCACCAGTTACTAAGGCAACGGACATCTCGACTTGTCCAGAGAAGACAGGATGATATTAAAGATGAATCGGCGGAGTTTGCAAGCCTTTCAAGTCAGTCCATCTTGAAGGTTTTTAAGATTTATTTGAACAGCCTTGTGAGTTCTGTGTGAGAGCGTGTCCTGGTCAATCTGCCATTCCCATTTCCCCATCATGTTTACCTTCAAGTGTGATTGGTTTGGACAAAAGGCAACCCTGCTTGTCATTCTGTGGCTGAGAATGTGTTGAGAATGTGTAAATGCACTAGAGGCTTCTTGAGCTTCTGTTTCTAATGGAGTGTCACAGTCAGACGATGATTGTGAGTCGGCTCAGATGCTTTGAGCCACAAAAGTTAAATGACAAAACAGTATTTGTCGTTTTGTCATGTGAAAATGACTGCAGGTAAGTAACCAAAAAGATACTATATATACAAGATTTATATCTCTTTAAAAATGTTCTTTTAAAACTTTTTTCTTTTAATATAAAGGTATTTGGGGAGGTGTTTGTACTACAGTAATTAAACATGTGATGTGTACTCCATTGTACAGTTGATCGCAAAGTCTTTTTATGTAGCCAGTTAGTGTCTAATGCTGGTTCTTTGTGATTCTGGCCAAAATGGAAGACCAGCTAAAGCAAAAAAATCTGATCTGGAGGTAGCTTAGAAGAAGTGAAAGTCTAGAGAACCAAAATAAACCCGTGGCATCCTTGTGCCATCCTTGCAGCAAAATGACCTGCCACAGTGATTCAAGGTAGAAGAACAATACCATAAATTATGGTCCAAATGACTCAGGGCTGGTCAAGTTAGGTAAATTAATCAAAAATCGTCTCGGACTTTTTTATTTAGGGTAGTTTTTATTTTTACTGTGGTGAATAAATTTGACCCGAGGATAGCACAAAGGTTAAAAGAGGCAGGACTTTTGGCAAAATCATCCTAAATACCTTTTTTAATCTACATGGTTTCTTCTACTAAATGTGTCAGAAAGCATTGAAATCATTTTGCCCTTACGAGTCCTCACATAGCCCATGTTTGTTTCAGGTAAAGCTGTCGTGGCTCCTCTTCTGGGCAGGGATCGTGCTGTACTGCAAGAACACAGTCGTCAGAGGAGGATAGCTGAACGAGAAGCTAGAAGGTGCGTACTCTGTTGTTCCGAATGAACTCTATGCCAGGACAAAAAGGGTCTTCTGCACTCATAGTAAATCATTTTGTTTTCATCCATTGTTTTTTCTCAGAACTCGCCGACGACAGGCGAGGGAGCAGAACGGAAAGAGGGCGGAGCACAAAGAAGGGTTGTCTTCTGATGATGAGGAGACCACCCCTGACATCACCAGCTTCAACATGGAGAAAGGTACCCGAGTTTGTATGCATGGTCTTCCCCTTTCTTTCCTCATGGGCCTTTTTTCACTAACTTTAGCTTTCTGTCCCCTAGATCGCATTACCAAAGATTGTAAGAAGATCTTTGAAGATGTTCTGGAAGAGTTTCATTCTCTGGACTACATCAAGTCCCGTTTTGAAGTATGGAGAAGAGAGTATCCAGACTGCTATAGAGAGGCTTATATCGGCCTCTGTCTGCCCAAGCTGTTTAACCCTCTAGTTCGCCTACAACTCATTACGTGGAGCCCTCTTGAGGTAACGCCAATGTGGACAATCATAATATCTTGCATCTATTTGCTGTCAATCAAAGCATTACCAGCATTCCATGTTTTTTTTTCTAGACTGAGTGTCCAAACTTTGAGTACATGCTCTGGTTCGAGACCCTTTTATTTTATGGCTATGAAGAGAATAGCGTGTTAAAAAAAGGAGACATGGACATCAGTCTCCTACCTGCCATTGTAGAAAAGGTTATCCTCTCCAAACTCACAGGTAGCTGCCTCTTCAACGCTCGTATGTCGGAACCATGTGTAACGTAAAGTAAATCCATGTTCTGTTTGATGGTTGTGTGATAGTGTTAGTGGAGGAGGCGCTGGATCCCATGTCCAGTGGTCAGACTGCAAGAATGGTGAGTTTTATCCGGAGGCTGATGAAAGAATACCCCACTGTCCTGCACGGGGAGAACAAATACACACAGGTAATGTTCTGGCCAATACCTATTTTTTATTTTTATATTAATTATTTGACATTAATTCATACTTTTGTTTCCGTTTGTGCAGGAGCTATTGAAAGCAGTTGTTTTACGTAACAGAAAATGTATAGACGAAGATCTCTTTTTACCCTTGTACCCTAAAAAGTACGTTCTTGAAATGAAAAGTAAATGATAGTCCATTCATCTGCTTACCCATTCTCATGTTATTTTTGTTTTAGCGTCATGGACAACAAGAATGGCAGCCCGTATCTGTTTTATCAGAGGCAGTTCTGGTCGTGCATAAAGGTATGTCAATCTTACTGGTTTAATTTGACACAACACTGGATCTCCTCTGAGTGTTGCTTACACGTTTATAAAGGTAGAATACAATGTACTTTAATGTATATGTTTTTTTGGGTTTTTTAGGACCGTATGTATTAATCAATGTGTCTGCAAACAGCGTCAACATAAATACACTGGAGTTAACACAATAGCTAAATTGTATCCATTGTCCTAAGGCAGGTAGAAACATACAAACACACAGTTGTGCAACAGTGCGAATAATACTCTACAAGCTCAGCGTAAAGAACTTAAAAGAGAAAAAGAGAAAGTCTTATGGGGAGCATTTTTCAGGACTCCTTTAAATGTTAGGTAGGTCCCACAGTTATGTATGTGTTCCAGCCATGTGTTCCATAATGTTCCTCTGATGGACGCGACCATTTGGCTGAATTTATGAATGAATAACTTAAGATTATGTCTTTTGCTCAGCTATTGAAGAATATCCTCCAGTGGGAAGGAATCCTGTCCACCACATCTCTGAAGGACATGGCTCTGGACAGCATCTTAAATCGATACATAGTGTCCGCACTGCAGACGTCCGACTCTACAGAGGACAACATCTCCAAGTGTCAGAAGGTAATGGATGGACCTGTTAAGGTTGATGTCAAGTTATTTAATTATTGAGGACGATGCATGCAGTGGAACATGACCTAACTTTTGAAAAGGTTGGGTGTAGCTTAGGGTTACATGCGGTATCCTTGTTCATGTCGTGACATGTTCACCATACCAGTAGGATCCTATAGAATCGAGCACATCATGTTTCTACAGAGTGGTGCTAGTTTTTAGAGGTATAATTTCTCTAAGAGTTGAACTTCAGCCCATCTTATACATGTTGCTTTTTGATAGCTTGATAGCTCAGCGATCTTCTGCTCTGTGCAGTACAAATGTTCTACTTCAGCTATACTTCAGTATTTTCTTTTGAACATGGCAGAAGTGCTGCAAACTTGGAATGAAACGTTTTTGAAATATAAATGTTAATCTCCCCACTATGCGTGTATCATCTAATCTGCACCTTACTTTTTTAAATATATTTTTAATTTGACATTTATTTAACCAGGAAAGTCTTATTGAGATTGAGAACCTCTTTTTCAAAGGAGTCCTGGACAATTACTACACTAGAGGCAGGTGCTCTGGAACAACAGCCATTGCCAGTCGCTAAGGGCGGCACGGTGGCTGAGTGGATAGCACTCTCGCCTCTCAGCAAGAAGGTCCTGGGTTCGAATCCCGGTCGGACCAGGGCCTTTCTGAGTGGAGTTTGCATGTTCTCATGTACAATAGTTCTGGCATGCGCCTCCTGTACTGGCCCCGCTCCCATCTGTGTGGAGTGAGAGACAAATGCCCAAAAATTAACAATTGTAAACCGCTTTGAGACTCAGATCTGCAGTGAAAAGGCGGTATATAAATAAAAACTTACTTACTTACTTACTAAGCTGGGAGAGTGTGTGTGTGTGTGTGTGTCCTCTGAACCCCAGCTCGGACGTTTGATTCCCAGACAAAAAACACGGATAGAGATCGTTGGGCAAGACACATAATCCCACATCTTTGAAATACAAGGAGAAAAACAACAAATGCATTTCAAGCAATAACCTCTCCATAGTGACAAATGTGCTCCTGCTTGTGCTCTTTTATAACAAAGGAAACCCCTAAATAATCTGTTTCTCAATGACTGTCTATCCTTCCAGGTGCTGGAGTTGTTGCCCAGACAGTGGTTCGCGACAATGAAGGGTCAGCAGACGTTGCCGCAGCTAGAACCCCTGTCTCGTTACCTCGCCCACTTGGTCGGCACATTTTATCGCAGCAGTATCGGGGTTTCGGACTTAGATCGACGTGTTGCCAAGTACGTGTAAAACTCAAACCAGCGGCATGTTTTGAAAAATGCATTATCTGAATGTTTGTGTTTTTCTTCTTCCCAGGGAGCATATAAAAGAAGTGGTGATGATACTGAGCCAAATAAACGCTCTGGACCACATCCTCCATGTTGCGACTGAGCAAGGGGTGAAGGAAATCAAACTGCTTTGGGAGTGAGGGGAGTTAACTGGACACTAAAGCACACTTGTTGATGTCAAAAAGCTCTTAAAACATTTTGGTTGTAAATAATGTGAATAATGTATATTTTCTTAATAACGTTGGTGAGTAGAGGCCTTGTCCTGCCAACTCCGTGGACTCTTGTTACATTATGCTGGCCACACGCTTTCCGCTTTCGATTGGTCGGACAAAGTGAAAACAACTTTTTTTGTCCCTGAATGTTTTTTTGCCCACTTTGTACATTTCCTAATCGTGCTTTATTTGTTTGTGAATAAAATTTGACTTTGAATGAAAAGAAGTTGATTGATTTGTAATTGGTGACACAAAATAATTGTCTTTGTCTCTTAAATATGTGACATTGTGTGGGACTTGAGGCAACTGCTTGAGGATAGGATTAAAAACATTGCGGAAGTTTTGCAGATTCTTACAAAATAATATAACTTATTTTGTTTGTCCCCAACAGAAGGAGTCTTGTAAGATTCATTTTGTTAACAACTCGGATCACAACAAACTGTCTTAATGTTTACAAAACACATGTTATCTTTTTGCATAGACAGTCCTGTGAGTCACTGTCTATTTGACGCTTTGGACTGAGAGCTGATTGGTTGAGTAAGGGTGGTCCTCTTTCTCAAATTTTGAAAAAGCTTATCAAAAGATGTGACTAAAGCCAAACAACAAAATCAAAGGTGATAGCAACAAACTTTTAAGAGTGAGGAACTAGCAGTTTTTTGTTTTGTTCGTTGTTTTTTCCAGCATCATTTTCTTTTTTGTGTGAAACAAAATAGGACAATAAAGGAGCCTACTTTATTTGTAGTGCGTTTGGCCTATAATAAATATACCCAGACTCCACGGATCTTTCCTTGCTGTATTATTCTCAATCAAGGGTGATCCTTAAATTGCCTGAATACTGAAGAAACGTTCTGCTCAATGCATATAGCCAATCAAAGTACTCCAAAGAAAGCCCTTGCATAATAAGAGCATTACAGTGTTTTGTGCCTGAGGTGATGGCCCTGTAGTCACTTAGGACGTCCCGAACAACAGCTCCAAGGGAAGTGACTATTGCTCAATGAGTGTCACGCAGGCGGGGCAGCGTGGGTATGCCCCCTCCTCCAACTAAAACGCGCTAAACGCAGCAACCTGAAACCTTCAAATTCTTCACTTCCAAACGCCAAGTCGTCGCTCTGACTTCTGTCCTGTAAGAATGACCTCCAACTTAAGCTTGTATTTTGATTTTTCTTTTGTGTAGAGACATTTGGGCACGCGTTTGGAGCCCCCCCTTCGTGCGCCTCCGCAGGGTCTACACGGTAAAGTAAGGATCCCTTTTACGCACGCATGTTTTGACTAATGTACAAGCGTGAGTACTTTGTAGAAGCTTGAATTCAATTTGCTGAGTTTCTCTCGGGAGTGCAACATTGTGCGAAGTCGTAAACTGTGAAAAAGCCTTGCAGCAACAGCCACATGCTTGGGGCTTTAAACGACCTCAAGCTGGAGCGCTGCTATCGCTCCAAACGTGTCTGCTGTTGGCATGGGAGTTAAAACATGATTGATGGATAAGAAAATATTCTAAAGTGGCATGTATTTGCTTAAAAGTAGATAATATATGTCCCCAGTGCAGGTTTTGTGGTTTCCGTGTGTTGAATGTACTGCATAGACTACCGCAGCATGAGCGTGTATTATTGTTATTATTTTGTAACAAGCTCATGTTTAAAGCCTTTTATAGTCAGGCATTTGACCTTATGTCCATCCCCAGTTATGAGCACATGATGTTCATATGACAATTGGCCAAACTCTGATGAGTGTCTCAAATGGCCTTCAGTTGCATTTAATGGATATGATCAAATATTCCTGAAGTGCACATAGTGACAAATAATAACTGCAATTTACAGTCTAAAGCTGAGAGGAAATTTGTGAATAACAATAGAGGCATCTAATCCTGCTTTTATTTTGGAAAAGGAGAGAGACTGCCATTGTGACAATAAACCCATAGGCTATGTATTACTGTTCTGTATTGATGATTACATTCATTGTGGACAAATGTTGTGACCATGTTTCTGTCATTGAAAGCTGCTTCAATACAACAACAAAGACCTACTCCACACAGTCTTATGGTGTATCCAGTAGAGGTTCCTGTGGAATAAAGTTACTGTCCCAGACTCCCAGGTGAGTTATGTGTGACTCACCTAGAACTATAAACAAATCAAATAAAATGCTAATAACATAAGTATTTTGCCTCAGAAGTGTAGATTAATGACCTTATACAGACTTGGTTATAGGTGAAGGAGAAGGGCAGCACAGTGGCTGCAAAGAGGGTGCTCAGGCCGCCTAGCAAGAAGGTCACGGGTTCAATCCCGGGCCTTTCTGTGTGGGGTTTGAATGTATCTCCCTGTGTCTGCGTAAGTTTCTTCCACCACTGGAGGTAAAATCGTCAATAGTCCTGATCCAGCCATCAACATCTGGAAATGGGTCCCCAGGCGCTGCTCTCCCAAATGGCATTGAAGAATAGGTCAAATGCAGAGATCAAATGTCCCTATAGCCACAAGGATAATACAGAATAAGAAGAGGATTTGACTGCTGCTGATATGGAGATGGAGAATCTTGATAAGCAAGAGAAACAAAATGACAGATATATATCAAAATGCCAAACAAACAAAACTATCAAAAACCATGGGAACTGCATGAGAGAGAGCGAGTTTGTGCAAGACTTTCTCAATTCTCCTGGAACAAGAACTGAAATTTACAACAGGTGGACGACAGCTTCCCACCAATGTGAGAGTGGCAGAATTCGTTCTGCACTTACAAACTTGGCTTATAAATGACAATTGCTCAGGTGCAACAACTGTTTCTCCCTCAGCCCTCAAGCAGTGCAAGAAAAGTAGCAAACCACAAATGGATGTGAGGAGTTAAAACTTTTTTTTTTTTTAAGAAAAAGAAAATACATTTTATCTCAAAAAGCCTTTAGATCAAAGCTTGCTAAAACGTGACCCCTCTATAGCTTCTCTAATCTGATCTCTGATTGGTCGATCTGACTCGTCCCTCCTGATTGCACTCTTCGATGACCAAACTCGACTCCACCTTTGCTAAAGTTCCACGCCTCCTGCCAAGATTTCCAATTTTGGGACGTAAACATACATTGCAGGCGACATCCCAACATGTTTATACACATCGTAAATGGGTCAGTGGGTTGGGAGTGCTCCGCAGCCATATAACAGTGTCTCTGTATAAAATTACAATAATTCATTTTACATTGGTGTCTTAACTGCCAAATTGTTCCCATGCTTTCTTGTGTGCATGTGTCTGTCTGCAGTTGAAGTGAGGGGTTCTGGGAATAGCCCTCCCATGTGATGAGACAGATAGTGTTTCTCTGCTGCAGCCACCAAGCATAAGTATAGAGAAGTCATGAGTAAACCCTGTGTCGTGATGCTTTATGAGCTCAACAGGTGATATGTGCTTCTGTGCATTAGAATGGATCACTTTGTCATTACTGCGAAGGCCAGCCTGTAGAGTCACCTCAAAGACCATTAGTGGCTAGTGCTGTGTCACATTAAACACATGTGATTTACTTCTTATTTTAGCCCCAGTTGGTTATTTTGGGTGAGCTGGCCCATATTTTTTGCGGGTGTCAACTGTCATTATTTGAAAACTATATTGACTTGCGGTTGCATAACTCACAGGTCAAAAAGAGGTCATGCAGTTCATATAGGGATGTGGCTCGAGTTCTTCTGTAGCTACATTGTCTTGATCTGTGTTTTTAAACCGGTGTGTTGTGGCCTGTTAGTGTGCCTTGAGATGTTGTTTGGTGTGGCTTTGGAAATGATGCAATATCACATAAATGGTTAAATGGTAAAATTATATAAATAATGTGAAGATTTGAAGGATTTGTGTAACGCCTGTTAGGACTAGGGCGGACCGACTGCGAGGTAGGTATTAGAGGTACCAGAAGAAGGACCGGCGGGGAGCCAAGGAGTGTGAATGAAACACAGACAATCACGATTACGATCCAAATATTGTATTGGGTTCAAATGTTATATATTAATGTAGATATAGAATAGTTCAGTAGTATAATGGTATTTATATACAGTAATAACAATGATAGTTATATAGATATGATAAGCAGGTATATTTTATAAACATCCAGGCATCCCATCCCCTTGAGCTGGTCTGTATGAACTTCTGGTCTGTGGAACCTGATGGCAGGATCAAAGACATTCTCGTCATGACTGACCACTTCACAAAATATGCCGTTGCTGTTCCGACTCCCAACCAAAAGGCCAAGACAGTTGTCAAGTGCTTATGGGACAACTGTCTTGTGCATTACGGAATACTGGAGAAGCTGCACAGCGACCAGGACACAGATTTTGAATCCCGAACAATCAAAGAACTTTGCGCTGTGGCTGGCATCCACAAAATGAGAACCACGGCGTATCATCCGAGAGGAAACCCAGTGGAGCGGTTCAACAGGACGCTGTTGAATATGCTCGGTACACTGAACAAGAGAGCAGCTTATTTTCGATATAATACACTTTGAGGACAACTTTGATAAGATAAGACTATTGATCTCACACAGGATAAATTTACATGTCACTTTTGGAACAAGATAGAATCACTCAGATCTGTGCAAAAGACAGAAGCGTGCAACATGTTAAAGGCAAAAAATATAGTCTGTGCAGGTAATATTAAAAAGCAATTAAAGAAACAGTGGCAATAGTTGTGCAGGTTTTTGCTTTGCTTTGTTAACAAAAGCTGCAGTGTTTAATGTTTGTTTCAGCCAGTGATGTGTCTTAAATAAAAACACGTGTGCCATGGCTCAGAAACATTGGGGAACACTGCTAATTTCCACTTGTTATTTGTATGTTATATTGATATATGTGGGGGAAAAATACTCGTTGTGCAGGTTTGAAACAAATAATCTAATCTAGTAATAAGGCATCTACTGTATCTTTGTTTTGTAGTTTGTCTAACTGCATGTGGTCTGTTGTGAGTTCTTATGTCAGAGAAGGGAGCGGCGCCCTGGTCACTGTGCCTGTCATTCTCCTTTTAGCTCTATCGGATATATCGCCTCATGTGTCAGTCAACCTTCAGCCCTCGTGTTTATACTCATAGTCCAGTGTTTATACTCCGCTGTCGGCCGTGGTATTATCCTAAAATGATGTCACTTCTGTGGAATGTGCACGAGTTATTTGACGGACAGAAAGATTCTCTCTGCTTGAACATAAAGTTGTATAGATTGTTTGGTATTGTGCTTGAATGCGTTTGCTTAAAGTGAACTAGAGATGTGTATGAATTGTTCCATTGTAAGTGTTTTCCAGATGTTCTATGGTTCCACTGTTGTGGCCCTTGTTCAGGGGCTTTTCCATGTCCCCTCTGTGTCTGTTATGTAACCTGTCGGCAGCACTGATGCTTTTCAATGGACCCCTAGTTTTTCTGTCCGACTGAATTGTGTTACATAAGTGGTTTCGTACAGCCGTTTTTCCTAGAATAATTTTAAATTTAAAATAATTTTAAAAGTTTAAAAAATATTTATACTTTCACACAATGGTAGAATAGAAAAATCATCTGGACTTAATCAGCATCATGATGTCTCAACTCCCATCCAGAAGTTATTTCTAAATCTTAAATCTAAAAACTATTTAACAACAATTATTAAGAAAATCGATTTGTTGGACCATTTATTATTTCGATCAATCCATTTAGTTGTTTAGATCCATTGAATAAGGTTTTTTTTAAATAAAGCAAAGCCACACAAGAACATAGTATAGAGACTAGATGCAACATAACATTCGTTGTTTGATTAGAAGGACTTTAAAAAAAATAAAAACCTTTCCACCTCATTCTGTTGTGATTATATCTCTGCCAGTCATAAACGCTCTCTGTTTTGATCCAGGTTTGGTTCAAAAACGGATGAATTGATGACATAATTGGTTGACAACTCTTTCAATAATCGATGAGTTGCGATGCTGTAATTCACTCTTGGAATGAGAGATAACTCAGAGCGACAGTTTTATTTTCTTCAAGGTGCGGTACCAGTAAGCCCTGCTTCCTCGTTCTACAGTGTGTGTATGTTATGACATGATGTTATGTAGAATCCATCAGCATTCTGTTTTGTCTGTTGCAGAGAGGCGTGTGTAACCTGTGACCCCCCGGCCGTCCCCCCGGCCTCCTCGTCCCCCATGGCGTTGAAAAAGCTGGTGTCTTTTGGGAAGCAGCTGCTGAGGGTGAAGGTGGTGAACTGTAACGAAGAAGAATCCAGACTGTCCCGATGTCTCAACACATTCGACCTTGTGGCGCTGGGCGTGGGCAGCACTTTGGGAGCAGGGGTCTATGTGCTGGCCGGAGCTGTGGCCAGGGAAAACTCAGGTCTGTTATTTTATTGGCTTCTTTATTTTTTCTAGATATGTTGTTTTTCAATAATACCAATATGACCACCTGCTTTATTATAGAAATGAACGGCATCACTTAGTGGTATGAAAAGTTTAAAGAAGGCATTTCACTCCTGTGATGATATTTGAGTTATTGCAACTTATATCTGCCAAATGTGGACCAATACATATTTTCAGGCTTTCTTATACATGTAGATCAAATAGATAAATATTATTTAGTAAATTTAAATTTTCACAATTGAATGACTTACTTTTCATACTATTTATTAAAGTGGTTCATTTAAATTGTAGTAAGTATTGTCGATTCTATTTTTCAAAGTATGAGACTCTGTATGTAGGAGATCATTTGCAAAATTTCACATTTAAAAAAACATATTTCAAAGGCTTACAATTTGCTCTTCACAGAGTCGTTGTAGTGCCATACAAGTTTCACCCATTCTTAAGCAAATCCACAATGGAGATATCGGTTTTTGCAAATGATATCTTTATCTAGATCGATAGATAGATACTTTATTGATCCTCGTAGGAGAAATTCAGGTGTCCAGTAGCAGCAAAATAATAATAATAATAATAATAAAAGATGAAAAATAAAAAATCGATCCACTTTAAAATTACAGGTCCAAAAATGATGCATTAATAAATTTGACATCTTTATAAACCAAACCATTAATAGACTCTTTGAGCCGCAAGCACTGTATCTTTGAGATATCTACAAAATGCTCTCTCTAATGTATTAGTTTTCATTACAAATATATATATTTTGCATCTATTGTCTCTCAGGACCTGCGATCGTGCTGTCTTTTCTGATAGCAGCATTAGCTTCAGTATTAGCCGGTCTGTGCTATGCTGAGTTTGGAGCTCGGGTTCCTAAAACCGGATCGGCGTATTTGTACTCTTACGTGACAGTGGGTGAACTATGGGCCTTCATCACCGGCTGGAACCTCATCCTCTCCTATATAATTGGTAAGACACAAATGCGGTTAGGCTTTGACTTGTGTTACATTGTACATCTCCCCAGACAGAAGGTGTGTATTTGTGTTCAGGGACCTCCAGTGTGGCCCGAGCCTGGAGCGCCACCTTCGATGAGTTGATAGGGAAGAGAATTGAACTCTTCTGCTCTACGTACATGCCCATGAATGCTCCGGGCGTCTTAGCAAAGTACCCTGACATGTTTGCAGTGATCATCATCCTCACACTAACAGGTGAGAATGATATGTAGGATTTCACGTCGGTCTTGTTCTGACCAGTGGGGGAGGGTCCCAGCTCAAAAGTGGCCAAAATGACTTCCGCTGACATGCTTGCAATACCACTCCGGGCCGATGGGGGTGGACCCATCGACCCAAGAATTAGCCAATGCTAACATATAGCATTGGCAGACCTCTAAAAAACGTCTTTACAGGATGGACCAAAAGTTGGCTCTTGGCCCAAAGCTCCGTTCCACATGTGTGTCAATCCTGAGGGGGGTGAATTTTTTTGGACCACTCTAGTTTACCTGCTGTGAATTTTTGAAGTCTCTTGTTCAAATGAATGGAGCTGCGCCGGCTGACGCATGCGCAGATGCGTTTTTTTCACAATTTTCTTGTGGGCCGGACCACTCGCGGCCATTTTGAATAGCTCCAGTAGAGCACATTTTTTGGCCCATTAGTTAGAACGGCGGAGATAGGCGTGACTTTGTCTGTTAATATATACAGTCTATGGTTCTGACAGTGTAAAAAACACATTCCTCATATTGGCTTTCACTAATATCTGAATTGAAATGCAAATAACAGCACCACATTCAAGATTCAAAATACAATAATAATAATCTTTATTCCAGACTCAAGGTCCATATAAAAGACAATACAAAGAAACAGACAAATTCCCAGAACTGAGATATATAGCATGTTGAACCAGAGCACTGAACCAGAGCCACTGAACATAGTTAGCTTTCGTAAACTACTGAAGATTTGTCTCATTCCTCAAAGAGTGTGGTTCCCAGAGTAAGGTCAGACCTAGGTTGTGAGGCACTGAGCTGGGCGATGCAAAATCATCATCCTTTACAACATACATTTTCTGAAAATAGGTCCAATATACACGATAAACATGCTTTTATTCTTCTCAATTTGATTTTGCCATGCATCGTTTTCTAAAAAGTTTGGAACCCCTTACCAATGAACGTATCTTTCATTTTGTTTTTGTCATTGTGTTGTTTTTGAGTATTCACCACACAGTTCTCCTCCAGGCTTACTGGCATTCGGCGTCAAAGAGTCAGCGATGGTGAATAAAGTGTTTACCTGCGTGAACGTCCTCGTCCTGCTGTTCATGGTGGTCTCTGGACTGGTCAAAGGCACTTTGAAGAACTGGCAATTAGATCCTGAACAAATACTCAACACTAATTATACAAGTAACTCCAGCTTCAAGTAAGCATGCTCCTCCAATTGAATACCATTCTGTTTTCAATCGTTTCAATCTTTTGCAATTTTTTCCTTTTCTTTGTTTTCAGTTTAACAAATGACTTGCCGACTAAAGAACAGTTGGGAGTTGGTGGCTTCATGCCGTTTGGCTTCTCTGGGGTCTTGTCAGGAGCAGCTACTTGCTTCTATGCCTTTGTGGGGTTCGACTGCATCGCTACCACAGGTCAGAGTAAAACAGTGTGCTCCAGTCTACCGCTGCAGTGGATTTCTCTCCTTACATTAGAACCACTGACTTGTGTGAGCCCTGGGGGTAGGGAGAGGTGTAACTGGATCTTTCAAACTTCTCTTATCTAAAGCATGCCTAAACATCCAAGAGTATTACATAAGCAAGAAAGGAGTAGAAACTAGAGTCATAAGTTTGGCCTAAATTTGTCACTGGTCATGACAAATGCTCCCTAGAGAGCTTTTTTTTTCATTTTTTTTTTTTATTTAGCAGCACTCCACTCGGTAACCTACACTTGAATAACTTGTGCATGTAAAGAGGGGTGTTCTATGATTGTTTCCAGCTTGAATTCTGGCTGAACCCCTGGAATTCACCTCCCCACTTTCCCTGCTCACTGATTGGACAGCATGACACTCACTGTAAATTATTGCTTCAGTTTGAGTGGGGGGCAGATCTGTCACACCAACAAAAACAGCGCACAGTAATCATGTTGCGCATGTAGCTGGATGACATACATGCAGGTTACGGTGCTTACAATAGTTTCCTTGCATATAGAGTACCTGTCATGAGTAATAAATAGGCGCGCAGAGCAAAGACAGAAACGCTTACACACTTCATCATCTCGGCGTAGTACAAGACAGGAGTGTTGGTCTAAGTGGAGCAGTTGCGTAATCGCCTGCAGCTGAATGGCTTTTGGAAAAATAAGCTCCTTGTCCGAACTGCTGCAAATACGGCATGCAGAATGTTCCTCAAATGCATCTGCTTTTTGCAGAGCTATTGGAGGAATGCCAAAACACTTACTGATAATGTGGTAAGGAGCACTGCTTAAGCCCTGTTAAACAGGCTCTAAAACTTTATGTCAGGCTTAAACTATACAATAAAAAAGTTTTTTTATTCAGAAGGATTTAGGATGGTATTGTAGAATACTATTATATTTTATTATCTGGTTGCATATGATTCCAAAAAAATTGACAACATTTTTGCTTAGACCTTTATGCACAGAGAACTGACAGTGTTTTAAAGTGGACATATCGTGTTTTCAAATAATTGATTTTTACATCTAAATCATTAATTTGTGGCCTATATGAAGCGTAACTGTAATGCCTGAGTCTGAGTCTCATTATTTGTAGCTCCACGGGCCTTTCTTCTACACCTGTTCTGATGTGCGTCTGAGAGCAACCTGTTTTGGTGCTGTCTCTTTAAATGCAAATGAGGCGCTTTTGACCACACCCCCATCCAGGTGGCACAGGTTCAACTCCACCCCGAGCGGCCATTTTTGTAGTTTCTAAGCACAGATACAATTATCTCATAGAAACTTCTCATTACATCGCAAACATGAAGCAGTCCTTCCTCATTGACTGAAAGCAAATGTTAAGTTTCATTCTTAGTCCAGTCTTATTATCGACTCTTCTCTTTTTAGCTTTGGGATCAATGCGCACAGTCTATGATGCTCACACGCCGGTTTGACAGACACGTTGACAGAATTTTTTTTTATTGAATATTACTTATGCACAATTTTACAGCATTTAAAAACGTTAAGAACATTTTTCCTTCTACAGAAGGAAAGAGACGCATGCGCCTCCGGAGCCGCAGGTTGCCGACTCCTGGTTTATACATTATGTGGAAGCAAATACTGTAGAGGATCAGGATATGTGCAGTTTCAACAATAAAATAAAATGCAATAGTCTGCATTACAAGAGAGTAATAAACATGTCTCAGAGTGAAGGAGGTGGACACAGACAACACTGTTGTTTGTTACAGGGATGAGAATTGGTCAAAAAAGACTGATATGCATATTGTCAGCCATTTGCTGGCTCTAAATCTGTTTAATTTGTTCACAAGATATTACTTTTGGGCTCAAACATGAACTTTTAATGCAATGCAAAATGTAGGTATCAGAGCTTTATTTAGGGCGTTTAATCGCGCTTCGAGAGGAGAGGGGAGACGCGGACTGTTTCCTGCAGCAGTGCATTTATTGGGTGCACAGATTACTCAAAGACACGCATGGTCCTGTGCGCGTTTATGGGGTTGGGTACATGGCCACGCGCGCTCAGCCACAACACGGTGGAGTGGCTGCGAGCGGCTGGACGCTCACAGCCTCTCGCAGCCGCTGGACGCGGAAGCTGCTCATTACAAAGCGGCCGCAGATGCCCCGGAACACTGCGGCCGCTGAGGTGGCGGAATCCCGTTCGAGTACATACAGCAGGTGCCCCGCGGATACGCGTGCCCCGCTCGAACAATTCTCAACGGATTTACACTTCTCATAAACATGTGTTTTGTATGAGGCAGACAGACCGGCCCAAATATGGGCATCGGCCCTTTGGGCATTGCCCGGTACGCCCGATGGCCAGTCCAGCCCTGTTCACTGGCATCCTTGAGCTTGGACTACAAATTCGAAGTGATGCACAGTAGAGGAGGGCTGGGCTGAAGTGTTTTGTTAGACGCCCATGCCCTTATATAGCAGTCTCGCTGCAAATACTGTGACGTAATAATTCTAAACACGTAATAGAGAATGGCAAAATCAGAACGGGTTGAAAAATCTTACCTAAACAGAATATGAAGTGTTCTCTGCAACCCATGAAGAGACTGATTTCAACTTTTTTGCACTTCTAGAGGCTCCAACTACACAACATAAGGCATTTAAGACACAAAAAGTGGATTTTTTATGATATGTCCCCTTTAAAACATCTTAGACTTATTATGCACATGACTTTTGTGTGGCTGTGAGTGGTAGTGGTCGGAGGATCTGGTGGCAGCACCTGATTGGATTGGCAGTCTGGATTTTGTCAGCCTGCCCCAGGGCAGCAAATGAATAATGCACAACATGTTATAGCAAATGTCTGGATATCTGTCTGTTAAAAGTACTAAACTAATGAAACTAACCACTTTTTCTCGTCGGTTCTTGGCTCTACACAACAATAACGTTTAAAAAGATAGATACTTACGTGTCATTCAAAGATTGTATTTTATTACTAGATAAAGCAGCAGTCCATGCAATAACACAGAAACTGACTCTGCAGGTGAAGAGGTGAAGAATCCCCAGCGAGCCATCCCCATTGGCATTGTGGCATCTTTGCTGATCTGTTTTGTGGCTTACTTTGGGGTTTCCGCTGCTCTCACCATGATGATGCCATACTACCTGCTGGACAGCAACAGCCCTCTGCCTGTGGCCTTCAACTACGTGGGCTGGGGAGGGGCCAAGTACGCTGTTGCTGTGGGATCTCTTTGTGCTTTGTCCACAAGGTGAGTTTACACACAACTATAATGACTTTCCCTCTGTAACTAACTTTCCGCTGATTGGGTGTACAATACTGCGAAAGTATGAAGTCAGTGGTTTATTTTCTAATTACCCTTAAAGAACGTTTCACACTTTTGCTCAGTACTGTAGCAAACACTAATGACTGTATGTTTAACTAATTTGTGGACATTTTTCATACTATGCCTCCACTCGCCTGGTAGGGGATATGTTTACCCTGCCTCGGGTGCTCTGGGCTCTGGCTAACACCTTTTCATGTTCATGGAGTTTATCGGCCCCGGCACCAATATCATACTAACTTCAACCCTCACCTAAGGGCCAGGTGAGACTAACATGCATGCACTATGCAACAATGACAAAACCTCTGCTTTGCATGTGCTGGATATAATTATTTCACAACACTAAACATGTACACTCATTGATGTCCCTGTCCCTGCTGTAAAAAGCACATCCACAGCATGATGCTTCCCGCAACAGGAAGCAGTAATAAAATATAATTTTGCTTTCAATGAAAAAAAAGCATGCTGTTCTTTTAGTCTAATCTCTGTGCCCAACCTCTTTCCTTCAGTCTTTTGGGTTCCATGTTCCCGCTGCCCCGTATAATCTTTGCCATGGCACGGGACGGTCTGCTCTTCTCCTTCCTGGCCCGCGTCAGTGAGAGGAAAGCCCCCGTTACCTCCACCTTTGCTTCAGGAGTGATGTCTGGTAAGAATGGAGGTCCGGCTGAAAGAGGAAGTCTGAACGGGGCACTGAACGGGGCACATTGAGAGGAAAGTTTAGGTTACAAAGGTTACAAATACAATGGTGCATGAAGGTATGACCTTCATGCACCAAAGTCTATTTATGTCCATAACACTTGCAAAAGGAGGTCTCTCTTAAAATAGTCAGTGTTGGCTCCTCCATGAGAGGAGCTGGACATGTAGGATGTGCTTGTAATTTAAATGAACCTCTTGTTTTACAGCGATCATGGCCTTCCTGTTCGACCTGAAGGACCTGGTGGATCTCATGTCCATAGGCACGCTGTTGGCCTACACTCTGGTGGCAGCCTGTGTGCTGGTTCTTAGGTCAGTCTATATTACTGCTGGTGCTTTTTAAAGCTTAACTTTCAGCCAAAAACAGTTAAATATTGATCTTTAAATCTTTTTTTGCTCATAAGCATTACAACAGATCTATATATCATACTGTATGTATATTGTCTGTCTCAGATACCAGCCTGAACAGCCCAGTTTGACCTATGAGATGGCCAATACTCATGAGGATATGGACTTAATAGATGGCATTAGCATCCCCAGCATGGGCATGTTGCCTGGAATGGAGGAGAGGCTCAGCTTCAGAACCATCATGTTTCCAGAAAACCCTGAGCCGTCTGCACTGTCCGGCTACACCGTCAACGTCAGCACATCACTGTTAGGTAAAGGCTTTTGAATATTAACTCTTGTGCTATCCGCTGGTAAAAATTACCCGCCACAGATTGTTTAAAGTAGAAGAAAAATAACCTAAATTAGGGTCTAAACGGGTCTAAGTGACCCAGGGCTGGTCATCATCAAAACATTTTAATTTCTATAATCACTGTGGCAGGAACATTTGACCCAAGGATAGCATGAGGTAAGGACACCCTGTCTGTTCATTAGTGTTATTTGCAGCTTTGAGCATGATTCTGTTGTCCTCTCAGGGGTTTTGATCCTGATATTCAGCATCCTGGCAGTACAGGGCGGCTTTGCTCTGTGGAACCTTGGTGTTCTCAGCCTCATCTTCATTGTGTGCTTACTGTTAGTATTTATCATCTGGAGGCAACCGGAGAGCAAGACCAAACTCTCATTCAAGGTTTGAGTCTATCTCTATTGGATTAAACCCTTTTACTCGCAGTTCACTGTTTGATCATTGATTTGTTTTGTTTTTCCCCGGTCAGGTCCCCCTTTTGCCTTTTATTCCCGTAATCAGCATGTTTGTTAATGTCTACTTGATGATGCAGTTGGATTCTGGAACCTGGATCCGGTTTTCTATCTGGATGGCTATTGGTAAGCATAGTCATATCTTTTAGCAGATTTATAAATTAGAATTAACATGTATTTTTCTCTGTTAAAGGTATGGTGATCTACTTTGCCTATGGCATGCAACACAGTGCTGAAGCTGCAATGAACCGCTCTTCCTCCGATGCTGAGATGCATAGTTTGAAACCTGACCGTGAACTGGAGTCGATGGAACGAGAAAAACAAGCGTTCCTCCATGATAGCACAGATGCTTTGGAAGAAGAGGATTGAGGATACAGAGGAAATAAGAATTTAACTGGACTATACTTGGCCTGAGTTGTGATGGGACAGTACTTTTATCAGTGTTATCAGGGTGTTTTCAACAAAAAAATGTCACTTGTTGAGGAGCCCTTGTTTGCACCCATGTTGCAAACATTATCTGCCAGAGACTTTGAGTTACTTGTGTCTCTGCTCTCTACGTTCAACATTGGGGACAAGTCTGTAGTTTAGGGAAAAGCAGTTTTATGACTTATTTCATAATCTTCATCATACACTTGACAGACAGGTACGTGAAGGGACATGTTGAATATGCCAAATCTTATGCAAGCCGTGTTAAAATGCTGCTTTCACTGCTCTGATCAATTGCACAATCCACAATCTACTGCAACACTCCACAGCTGTCAGAGCGGGGTTGTGGTTACCCTGACCCCGGCTCAGGTCACACTCTCTGTTGCATTTGGGAAAAGACCAGAACTGCAGTGAACTTTGCGTCCACTTGGCAAATCAATGTTTCAGAATTTTGATACGTTAAAGGATTATATATATATAAGTACAATACATTATGGTGAGTGTCTTACTGCGTAAAACACAGGGAACAAAGAATTGGAAGGTGTACATTTTTCACATGAGGAAATTGTTTAGACAGTGCAGTTTGCTGCGTCTCTTTAGTCATGTTCTTCTGAAGACTATTATTTGTCCGGTCAATGTATTGGTCTGAGATAATTTTCCAACAAATTATTGGAAAACTCCTTTGGCTGTAGCTTATTGGTTTGAAGGGGAAATACATTATTATATGATGTTGCTACTCATATAATAAGTAGCAACACTACAGTTCCAAACTGACAGCTGTCAGTTATGACCCACAATACAAAATGGAATGAAAATCCATCATGACATTGTCTAATTGAATCTTTTATTGCGTTATTTGACCAAATATTCACCTATTTTTTTGTATAAATGCTAAAAAAGAATATATTTTTAAATTTCATCTTGAAATCATATCATAAATACCAGCTCAGTGCATTATGGGCTTCCCCCACTGTTGTATAACACACAATAATGTAATGTGAATAATTGAATGTATCTTACAAAGCCTGTAGATAATGTTTATATTTCTTTGGGTAAATTATTTGTAAATTAGCAAGTGCCTCCTGCACTTTGTCTGTTTGCTTATTTTGCCTCGCTGTATATGGACTTCTGCTTCCAGTGCCTCGCTTATGCTGTACATTGACTTTGATGGTGAGGATTTTCTTCTCAGGGAGAAAACGGCTTCCTTTGTTTTATAGAATACTTGTTTCAAAGTTACACGTGGTGTGAGTAGTAATAAGTTGGAAAAAAAACACGTTTTACTGTTAACCCTGGGTGATTCATACGTTGTAATACAGTTGTCATAGAGATTTATGTGTTTACATTTGGAATAAATATGGTGATGATATGCAGACTAAATGTAAGTGATATGTGTTTATTGCAACTAACACGATCCAATTATAACCCTACATTTGAGGAAGAGCACTCATATGAAGGCTATTTACCGAAAGACTAATCAAAATCAAAAGTGAGCCAAAATACAGTACATCTATTTATTCAACATATAATCTTTTAACTTTTGAATGCGCTAGAAAAAGGCTGCAAGTATAAAGTAGCTCTGAAACAGTTGTTGTTTTGTGCTTTACAATTTTTATTTTTACTGCTTTTTCTACCAGAGATGTTGCTGCAATACAGTGTTCATGGTTTTACACTGGTCCAGACCGGAGCGGAGAGGATTCATGGTCCAAACCAAGCAGATCAGGCGAAAATCCACTGGAGGAAGACTAACTTTTTGAAAAATGCGAATGAAGCATTTAGCTTTTTACTTTGGACTAGAGCAGAGAAAATGGTCCGAACCAAGTGGCTCCTCCACCTTGTGACCCATCCTGCTCCACCCAGAGGCTACTCGAACTCTGCTGCTGTGACCTGAAGGGCTGTTGCTGATTATTACTATTTTTAGCTTTTTAGATGATACATTTTTTTTTATTATAACTGCTACTGGACACCTGAGTTTCTCGTATGGGGATCAATAAAGTCTATCTGTCTATCTAACCATGTAGGTCCTTTGAGACACTTTCTAATTTAAAATGAAAACATGTCCCAGACCCAGCAAGGGTTTTCATACAACTAAACACAAATGTATTTCATAAAAATAAATGAGAATTTTGAATATCAATCAATTATTTCAATTATTATTATTAAATTCAAACTTAGAAATATTTTAACATAAAACCACAGGATTCCAAATTTCAATTAGTTTGGAATTGTAATTACTCATCTCATGTATATTCTTACTATTCATCACGTTTATTCCTATGGATATTTTTATGAATCATATTTTACTTCTGAAATGGGAGTCATTCTACATTTACCTTGTTTTACACCAGAGAATATCAAGTGCTAGAAGTTACCATAGTAACACATTGTTTAATGGCAGAATTTAGCATTTGCATTTTGTTGCTGTGTTTCAGTTGTAATCACCACTTTTACCACTTATTAAAGGTGAGAAAAGCCGGTAAAAATCTCATAAATTACTTCTGGTGAAAAACTAAACAGTCTTTAGGGGAATATCTCAGGAAAAAAAAATCCCATAGTTGTCCAGTAGAGGCCGCTGTGGCATCTCTGTTCTCACCTTGTTGGACCTCGCGTGGTGTTGATGAGGGAGCAGAGCCAGGTGACGGCTGCAGCATCAGCACCACTCTTCCTCCCCCTCCTCCTCCTCCTTTTTCTCCTCCTCCTTCCTTCTTTCTCTCCTCGGTCTGTCTGCAGCATCTCTTCTCCAGCGCCACATTCACCACCAGCCCAGGAGCAGAGCGTGGAGCCAGACCACAGACCATAGACAGACACACGCTGCATTCGACCGGGACACGCCACCTGTGCATCAGCGCCATAGGTACGACACCGTTTTACCTCAAACATGACACGTACTCTTTGCAAACTCACATAATGTTTGTATTTTTTGCATTATTTGTATATGCGCATGATTACCGTGTTTTTCCCCTTCTAATGCCCCGTTGTTGTTGTTGACGCTCACCACGTTGCTGCCAAGAATCAGTTGAGCATGTAAAGAAATGTGGATATTTATTTAGTTGTTTATGTGTTTTTTTTTTTGTTAGTTATTACGTGTTTGAATATCCCCCACTGATTCTATTGACCCAAGGCTGCAGGTGGAGATGATGTAAGAAGAGAAGGTTGCAGCGTGATTGATGGCGCGGGTCAGGTCTCAATGGGAAATGGTAATGATTTGGATATAGCTTATGTAGGCTTACACGTGAACCCTGCATGATCCACTGCGCTCAAAGGTGACCGATAAGACGATAAAACGCATCGTAAAGTTACAAGCATACTTTTTCTAAAACAGTGCCCTGCAATGTTTAATCGCTCCAGAATGTTTTTGGGCATTTCATTACTCGCAGTGTCTTGAAGATGCAGCCATTTTGTCCAAATTGTTTGTCTGTTTGTTATCTGTTTTTTTTTCCCCCCCTTACACACTAATACCCATTAGTGTTTGTGACAGATACCTTCTGCTTCACCCTTCACGCGGTTAAATGGACTGACACAAGCGCAGGGCTGGAAGATTGGGGATCAGAAATGTGTGATGAGAGGGCATGAAGGCTGTCTCCAGGACTGAGTGGTGTCTGGTGGCATTCAAAGTCCATGACATTGAGGTGGTTTCAAATCTCAAATAGTCTACGATGGTTCAATCAATACAGGAGAGAATAATTATGATGTTATTTTTTTAAATATACAAAAATACTAACCATATTTGATAGATTGCCCACATTGAATTTGCACCTTGAATATGTCTTTATAGTGACAATTCTGAGAATGTTTACAGGGATTCTCAAACTTTGCATTTGAAGTCAACTGTTCCCTAGTAGGCTTCTAATCCTCCATACCTAAATCCACCCAAGTACCACCAGGTCTACACCAGGTCTTTTTTTTACCTAATGTTAAAGCTATGGCTTTCAAATGACTGCTAGACTATTTCTACTGCATTTCTAATTGAGGAGTCTTCCAATGAAGGAAAAAAGATACAGAGTAAAATGAATAATTTGTGTGTATTTAGAACTTTCACATCCTTTGTTTGCAGCATATCCCAAAGTAAATTTCTAGTTTGTGACATTCAGTTACTTACAATGGTAATAAAAATAATTCTGATTCTTATTCTGAAAAAAAAAAAATAAAATCTTGGTCAGCTAGTAAGCTTTAGACAAGTTTGAATCCTGCTCCTGCTCCTGACATCATGAGCTTAGATTGACTGACCTGCAGGTTTACAGGTGTGAAACTATCTCCCATTGGTAAATACTGCACATGTCCTTGGGCAAGACATCACCTTGCCTCCAGTGTCTGCGTACACTAGTATATGTATCGCTTATGACTGAATGGTTCCTCGATGTGAAGTCCTTATGAGTGCTTTGAAAGGTAGACAAGTTCTGCATAAATGGGACGATTTCTATGGAACTGCAGAAGAATCTGTGTGCAACTGGAGCTTACCATGTACTGCACATAGTTTGAGTAACACATAGAATAGAAAATGCATTTTTGCTACTGCTGTATTCCCCATAGTTGCTGATAACTACTTTCGTCAAAACAGTGCTGCATTCTGACATTCAGACAAACAGCCAGTGTGTACACAATTGTAAATGAATGTGCTGAATGAATGCATTATACCAGTGAATGTTAAAACTTCTGGTCTCGTCCCATCCGTAACCCCAAATGATCTGGCAGACAAGTCCATTGAGTTAATCCCTGCATTGAAGTAAAGTTGACTCTGCACATGGGGATATTGTGGGGGTGTTGGCCTTGACTTATGCTGCTGCTGTAGGACTAGGAGCTGCTGCTGTTGGAGCTGCTGCTGATGCATGTGTGATTGATTCATTATATCTGACCTCTGCAAAGTCAGCGATCAATAAAGCTGCAAAATCACTGTTGAAGAGCATGTGTGGCCGTATGTGTGTGTTTGTGTGGCTGTATGTGTGTAT